GGCAACTAATCTCCTGTCAAATTGCATAATAATTATTTATCCTTAAATAGCCCAATAAAAGAATCAGATGTTTGTTTGATATTTGAAGTAATTGTTGCATTAGTTACATTTATTATACCTGTGATTTCTGCTTTGTTGTATATACTGCAATAGTTTGTGAATGCAAGCTAAAATACTATTTTCTAGTAACTTAATTGAAGCAATACAGTATTGTATCTTACAAGATGCTCCTGAATCCAGCCCGTGATTTTCAAGTCTTTGTTTACTCCAAATATATAGTACAAGTTTAATAAATCTAATTTTTAAATAAAATTTAGATAGAAAACTTGTTCAAATATAAATATATATTATAAATAAATAAATTTAAAGTTAAAGCATGTAGATTTTTTTCAGAGTATAGACATTGATAAAGAAGAAATCAATTTAGAAAGCTTTGAAGATACCACTATTGAATTATTACCTAGTCGGATTCCTAACGATCATGCTCGTTATCATGTATTTAGATTTCCACACAATTATGAAGGCGATCATATCATAAGTATAGGTATGTATGATATGTATGAAATTTGGCAAAATTAAGAAGACATTGATTTGTTTAATATCTTTGTTTTAGTGTTTGTTTATTCCATACCCGGATATAATTGTCCAGTTAAAGAAAGGATGCTATATTCAAGTTGTAAGAGTCAATTAATTGAGATTATTGAAGGCAAGATTGGGATTGAAATTGCAAAAAGGGTATGTTTATGAATAAGAATTTTGCTAATTGATCTTATGTTAATTAAAAGTTCTACAAGAATATGCTAGTGGTATGATTAAAATCTTGTTACTTTAGAAAATTTTTCTTTATCAAGTATTCTCATGGGTTTTCTTTTTACAAAATTCTGTTTCTTAATTTATTAAAGATGAAAAATTAGTAGTTATATATATAGTATATTACTGCTCATTAAGGTGAGGTTATCAGGATTTTAATTGATATCTTAAATACCATTTTGAACAGTTTTGGATTGATAATTATGATGAAATTTTTAAAAATGCTCTGAACATTTGGAATAACCTAAATCTTACTCACAATTTTAAGATACATCATGATTGATAACAAGCAAATACTAAATAATACATATACACCATCAAATTTCCAGCAACTGATGATCTGGCACCTTTTTCAATCCAAAGAAAATTACAAGAGGGAATGAAATTCCTATGGCAATCAGACAAATTTACTGGATGGCCACAGATTGCATTGTATGTAGGATACACTTATTTACATTATTTACTTGTTGGTCATGATATCACAGTTTTGTGATATTCTTAGTTTATACATCTGCAATTTTCAAATTGCAGATCTATAAACTCCCATTGGAATCTGTCTGTCTGTCCAATCTCAAGAACACAGTTAGATAGATGAAAGTCAAGACCAGATATTGAAACATTTGGAGCAGAAGGACTTAATTATATATGAACTTCCAATCTGGATCAGAAGTAATGTGATTATAATTCAAAAATTTTCTCCAGAGTGAGTTAGATAGATGACCAGTATGACTATTTTTATCAGGAAAAGCATGATGTACAGAGGCATGACACTATTAAAAGCAAGAGCATATATTTTAAATTAATTAATTAATTAAATAAATTTAAAAATATTAAAAATTGCAGCCTGGAATTGTGACAATGTTTTTGCTTAAATTTAAAACTAACTGTGGCTTCTAAGATAAATGACGGTGTCGGTAATGGAGTCAAACTAATATTGATATTTATTTAAGTTTCTAGTAGTTCATAGTGTACTTTAGACCAGGGATGGGCAACCCATGGCTTGCATTAATATTTTTTGTGGCCCGCATCACATAAAATTTGAATAAATATATCAATTTCTCAACCTAAGGAAGGATGCAGCAAAAATTCAAACATTATTTTCTACAACTTATTTTACCACAATGAATTTAGTGAAAATTAAAACAAGAAAACCAGCTAACAGACACATCAAAATTAATTTAAAACTAGCAGTGACTAATATTTAACCAAATATTTCCAATATATTACGTTTACAATAGTTCCATAAGCTAAATTAAGTATACATATGCTAATTTATAATTATATATGAATAAATAATTGTGATTTACTGACATTATTTTCCTCTTTTCTCTTGTATGCAGCCTGTGTTAGTTCAAAAGTTTTGAAATGCGCCCCTTACATAGAAAAAGGTTGCCCATCCCTGCTTTAGACATTTGGGTGGTATATAATTAGTGAGTTAGTAGTAGTATGGTGAAGTTGATAAATAAATGTTTAGACTCTGGCAAATTTGAAATGTGAGACTCCAATTTTTCCTTTTTTTAATTAAAATGTCATACTTTGATTTCTTTTAGAAGAAAGAATACTATTAGATATCTTAATATTTTTGTCTAAAATTTATCTGTAAAAAGTTGTATTACAATTTATGGTAAGAATCAAAAAATGGATGTAATGAATATATATCTTGGGAAAACTTGCAAGCACACAAAGAAACATGCATCTAAATCAGCCAAAAGAATTCCACTTTAATTAGATAATTATCAAAAATTGATTAAATGTAGGTTTTTTTTCTTTAAAATGATTTAAATTTTTTTTTCACTTTATTGTATTTAATAAATTGGTCTGAAAAAAGTTCTCCCACTCTGGCTACTACGAGAATAGTTAATTTCCTACCAATGGTTGACTAGACTCAAGTATATAATAGAATTTTAAAATATTAATTTTGGAAAAAACATCATTCATCTTGAACTGATGTGTAGTCATATCCCAATAACTTAAGTTGGTGAATAATAAGCTGGAATAATACTGTTAATTACATTTTGCAGTTTTCTCTTCCTGTTTTAGTCTGTTGCAGTTAGATTCTGATCTTGGTTTTGTTTTTTCATATTGTGTTTCTATTGACTGTTTTAAGATGAAATTGTTATAGAAGCAATAATAAATAGTCATAAATAACTCGTAACCAATAGAAAGACAGTGAAAACATTAATTAGTCAAAGAAAAACATCTGATATGTAAAAACAAATATTGTGCCAAGTAAAAATTGATATCTGAAATGAAAGTCAACTTTTTTTCTTGGGAAGTTTCTGCTTTGGCACTTTACAAAAAATACCATAAACTTTTTATTGTCTCTGCACTTTGTGTTCTTGCTTTAATAAATGATAAAATTTTCAAGAACCAATTTCAAAAGCATTGTTTTTATCACATTGAAAGCTGACCAGACATTGAGTGTTCCAGACTGCTGTGGTGAAGGGTTCTGAATCAAATTTCAATTGACTCCTGCAAAAAATTTTCTATCTAGAATCCACTGGTGCGTCATTCTCCATCCCACACTCTTGCTACACCAGTGGCTAAGTGGATTTTATCCTTAAATGCTGGTAATTGACTTGGATTTATGCTTGAACTGACATCTAACTTGCAAAATTTTCTGGGTTTTTCTTTGTCAATAACATCTGAATAGGGGGCTAATTTTCCTTAAAATACTTTCCAGAAGGCACATTCCTCAATTGACAGATTGCCTTCATGTTATGTTGCTAGTACTAAAACCAATCAATCAATACACTTATACATTGAAAAATAGTTTTGCTTTGAGTGGTTCATATGCTACTTAGTTTTTTTTTCTCATAGTATGTGCATGTATGAGCTTTTCAAATAAATAAATAAATAATAATAAAATATAAAGATTAAAGTATATTTTATAAATGCAAAGTCAGTCAAAAATTACAAATGTTGTAACATGATGTTTCATAATTTTTGGTTGGATAATAGCAAAAACATACCAAGCCTGGTATACATTACATAGAGTGTACAGCTCTCTAGCCAATATGAATATATTCATTTGAATTAATAAAAGCTATTTTCTGAAAGTATAGTGCACACTGCATGCAATATGCATAAAAATTTGGTGTGAAATGCTCTTTATAGAGGAAATTCTTTTTGATATCTAAGTTTATTGAAGTGTGTGTTTTCTAAGAAATTTCAAAAAAAATGTGAAAAATATCTTTTAATTAGTATCTAATACTAATTAAAAGGTATTTTTCGCATTTTACCAACAATAAAATTTCAGTTAAGATTCACCAGTCAAAAAAATTTTATCAACTCCTCAACATTGGTTAGGGGTATGTTGATGAATTATTATGATGAACGATCACAGTTGGTCCAGCAAAATGCTTAATTCAATAAGGCTTCGGAACTGAGGGTGTCTAAAAGTCTGTGATATACTTGTAGTATTTGCTTCATATTTACAAAGATCATGTATTTTATTCATTCATTCATTCTCATGACATCCTCTTTACAGAGGGTTGCAGTTGGTGGACATTTCTTCTCCACTCTTCATGGTTGTAGGCTTTTCCCAAGCTTGATCCAATTTATTTTTTGATGTTTTGCCATGTTAGCCTAGGTCTTTCCTTTCTTCATCTGCCCTTTACCATTCCTTGGACTGCAATTTTCATCAGTTCCCCTGAGGATCCTCTTATTATATGCTGACCATCAAGTTTCTTTCCATTCCAAATCTACTCATAACCTCCTCATTGGTTATTCTGTCTAGCCAACTAATTCTTTCCATTCTTGTAAGATAGCACATCTCAAAAGAATTTTCTTATTAACTGCCTCTTGGTTTATTGTCCATGATTTGGAGTACTTAAAACAATGATTTGGTAGACTTAAAACAATGATTTGGAGTGTGGCTACATACAGATGTATGTAGCCACACTCCAAATCATTGTTTTAAGTATTTTTAGTTTCAATTTTTTGCATACACTTCTAGCTCTTAATACTGAGGATATTTGTGCAAAAGCAGCTTTAGCCTTTTTATTCTGTTTTTAGTTTCATAATTACATCTGTTATCCTCAGTTATCCAACTTCCTAGGTACTCAAACATTTTTACCTTTTTCTATTTTCTTTTCATCCAACATAATCTTTAGATCTTTATTTTCTTTTCTTGAGATTATCATAAGTTTTGTATTGTTCACATTTATTTTTATTTGGTATCTTTCTTTTCCCACTTTTCTCAATTTATTTAGAATTTTCTGTAACCCTTCAGTGTTACATAGCAGAGCAATGTCATTAGCATACCTAATATTATTGATATGTCCATTAATGTTTACATTTTCGAACGCTTTGATGAAATCAAAGTGTTTGAAAGCCTATAATGTAACAAACTTGTATACTTGAGAGGAAGCTGAAAGCATGCTATGATTTTTATTTTCCCGGCTGTTATGTATAACAGAGAGAAAGTATGGTGATTGGTCAAAAAAATGACTTCTGCAGATTTTTACATTTTTGGACTTGGGATCTTGAAACATTGAGAAATTCAAAAAAAAAAATTGGGAGTTTCTTCTTTATGTATGGATGTTAGTGTGGGGGGGGGCACAAATTTGTTCACCCTTTTTGAAGCTTAATAAATAACTCCTGTACTTTTTGTCAAAAATTTCTGAAATTTTGCAGGGAGGTTTGTTTATTTGTGAGGTTGATGGTATTAAATTTTGGTGATTAAAGGTCAAGGAGGTGGGGAGATAGTGTGTATCTTCAGTAGGGTCAGACTTAATGACAATTTTACTCTTTATCAGCATTTACAATGTTTTATAAAATCCATCCCCCTCAAAATTAAACTTTTTGCCATTTTATAATAGTTGAAAATATAAAAAGATTTTTAATAAAACGTTATAACAGATAGCTCCACTAAATGTTGCCAGGAAAGCAGTTAAGCAACTCATTACTGGATTTTTGTGTTTGGTGCTCATCACCCTCCAATCAAAGTTGGTTTTTGCACATCAACACAAAACGATTTATGGCTCTAGATGGGATTCTAAGTTTTTTGATACGCTACTTATATGCTAAAACTTTCTCTTGGTACTTAGTGCACTACTATCTTCATGATTTTTTTTAATACACTGAAACTTCCCTAACTTCAAGCTCCAAGCAGCAAGAAAAAAACCTTCTTACAGTTACAGATAGTTTAAGTTAGAGAACAATTGAGTAAAAAATGCCTGTTCTTGAATATGTTTGTATTTTTACCTTTCTTGCATTATATAAAGAATCTTTGATAGTTTTTCTTTTTTTTAAACAGTCCTTGTAACTACTATGCATATGTAGCTAGAATTATTTATAAGATTATCAGCACAAAACCTTTCTCACTAATTTCTAGCCTTATTAACAGGAGTACAAGAAAGGTTTTGTGCTGATAATCTTAGTCCTTGTAACACATTTCAGCAAAACATTCAATATAACTAATAGAAATGAACAATTTTGCAAGTACTGTACATCTTGTTGAGATAAAGTGAGAGGACATCTTGCTTTGGACTGGAACATTGCCTGAAAAATGGTGTTGGAGGGTAGATACCACTGACTGTCTGAAAATTTTATGGAAATCCAATAATTAAAGTCACTTTAGATAGAATAAATCAAAAATTTGAGTCTGAAGTTAAAATTAACTTAAATTGTTGTTGGGGGTCCATGAAATACTTCAACTTGGAGAAAATTTGAGTTAAGAAATTAAATAAGTATGACGTACTTGAACCTATAACCGATGTGTATCAAATAATCTTTCAACGACGAACGTTTTCATAACCCCTTCTGGGCTCTTCTTCAGGTGAAACAGCTGGATCAAACACCAAAAACAAAATTTGAATCTTTTGTTTGAAAATTTGAATTATTTCGTCACGTTCAAACATATCACGTGACGAAATAAGCGAACGATTCAAACTCGACAGAGTTTGTATTTATTCAAATTTTGTTTTTGGTGTTTGATCCAGCTGTTTCACCTGAAGAAGAGCCCAGAAGGGGTTATGAAAATGTTTGTCGTTGAAAGATTATTCGATACACATCGGTTATAGGTTCAAGTACGTCATATTTATTTTATGCAATCCGGTGTGCAGTAGATGTTATATAAGAAATTAAAGTTGGAGGCATTAAATACCTATGCTGTTCCATTGAAACCTGCTGAGTAATTCAAGTTTTACTGTAATTAGATTGGATGTAATTAGCATGGTCCCACTAAACAGAATTAAAGTTAAGATTTCCTTGTTATTAAACTTGCCTAGCCATAGCTAACTGCTCCTTTTGAAATACTGTGTTGAACTGATCTTGTGATCAGTTCAGCAGAGTGTTGTGTTCTTGATGTGCTCACAATACTCAAAGCTTGAGGTAGTCACAATAGGCTTGACTCACCAAGCATAAACACACCTTGACTTAATATTACTCCTTGACAATAAGCTGCTTTTTTTAACAACATTAACAACAGAACTTTTTGTTTTGAAATACAGTAAGACCCCATTTAACATGGGGTCTTACTGTATTCCTAGGTGACAAAGTGCTAAATGAAACAGCATTAAACTTAAAGTTATTTTTATATTAATTTCATAATGATATATACTAAATAACACACAAACACATGCACACAGAACTGAAAAGTTCATTTTTTGTGATGGTCCTGGCTCTTCTGAAATTCTTGTTTTTGAGATAGTCATGTAGTTTCATTTTGTTGCTTTTCCCCCTTAAGCAAATGTTGATAGCAGAAGATTGCATCCAAAATGCCTAGTCTTGTTTTTGCACTCCTTTCAAAATCTGGATCATTTGCTACAGTTTGATCAACAATTTTGATTATCATTACAAAACTTTTACTAAGGAAATCTGTAGAGAAATTCTTTGGGTTTTTCATTTTTACAATCACTATTTTCCAGTTCTAACACATTCCTTCTTCTGCCAGTTCTTGAAGGTCTCTTTGGTAAGGTTCTCACCAGAAACCTGCAGTAACTCCTCAATATCCTGCATGTCTACTTCTCCTAATCCTGCTGTATTGATTAGGTTAAGTTTGGTCAACCTAACAATACAGCGATAGGCTCTTCTCGTTAAAAATCTTGGATACCTTCATCCATAACTTCTTCCACACTTCGTTCATGCTTTTATCAGTTAATTCTTGCCAAGTGAAGTCAATATTGCCTATGGCATCAGTCATGTTATATTTTTTACAAACAAACATAGATTTAAGGAAAGTAGTGCTACGAAGAATTGCCACCTTTTGCTGATTGGTTTGTGTTTGGGATAATCATATGTACAAATCAATGAAATGCCACAATAATTTGAATTGGTGTAAATTTTGAGTGTTTTTTTAGGCTTCTAGCAGACTGCTATATCAAATCAATGTTAAGTGGGGTCTTACTGTATTTGTATTTTATGAATAAAGTAATAGAATTAAAATTTTTGAAGAGTGAATAACTAAAATTAATCTATAAAAAAGTAGATTAATTTTAGTTAAATTCATATTCAAGTAGGAAATTTTGGAATTTTTATGTAATAAGATAATTTTGTAAATTAAGTTCATAACCCAAATGTATATATAGGTATCATTAGGAGTTTGTTTTTTAAGGTTTATGAATAAATTTAAATAATTGTTTATTAATAGATTGAAATTGATGATGCATCTGAACTGACCAAAGAATTTCTAATAGATGAAATCCATCCAAAGAAGAATATATTTCGTCAAAAATTTGCAAAGCCAAAGGGTCCTAGCAATCGAGGAGCAAGGCGTCTCATATGTACGCAAACAGAAAATGAACAGACGTGAAGATAAATGGTTGATGCAATAAAAAAATATTTGATAACACAGAGAAAACAAATCAACATTCCAATAACAAAATTGGTTACAGTTAACACTATTCAATTTTTATTACTCTATTACAAATGCTTAAATAATTCTAATTGTTTTTTAAAGAAAAATGTAACAAAGTTTCATAAATGAAAGTTTATAAAAATGACTGTAAATAATTTTTGCACAATTTGTATAATATTAGTTATTCTATGATAAATTATAATTACTGGTTAAATGTTATACTTTCCAGTTAAGTCAAAATATATGCAAAATTATTATTATATATACATAATTGTTTTTGATTGTTTACTTTTTCAATTTTTTTGAGTATTTTGGGATATATATTTTTCTAATCTATAATAATAAGTTAATTTGTTAAAAGATTATATATATATATATATGCAAATTTCTATTGATATTTGTATTTAAAATACTTTTGAAATTTTATGATTTTAAAGAAAAAACAATGATGTAGAAAGAATTGTTCAATTGAATATTATGAAATAAAAATGGTTAAAGTGTTCAAAGTTTTGTAATTTAAGGTTGTATAGGGTACTTCAAAAAGTTAATATTTATAAGAAGGTGCACAGTCACAGTGGCAGGGATAATAGAGCCACATTTTTTGAAAATCTGCAATTGGGTCAAAACTTTTTGCATGTGGTGGAGAGCTATGCAGAAGACATTATCAGTACAAATCCAGCATAACAAGTTACTTCTATAGTTGTGTTGGTAGTTGGTCAGGAATTTGTGCCGTAGTGAACGTTTGGCTCTGGCATAAATGTTTCAAATGATGACTTCGTTCCTGCTACTGAATGCAAAAACTGATAGTGAAGATGTGTCAATGAGGAAAAGTCCTTGAAAAGGAAATTGTTCATTTGATAAAAATATTTTTATTCTTTTTAGTCATTACAAAGTAAAACATTTCAATTGTAACTCAATAGGTTTCGGTGATCGAGTAAGAAAAAATGTAGATGCTATAATTACTATGTCTTCACTATCTACCACATTAGAGAATGTCATGTCTTAGCAATTGGTAAAGATGGAACAAAACAGACAACCATAGAACCAGGCTGCACCACAGATAAATTTTTTCTACAAAATATTACATGTGAAATACCAAGTCCTATAGGATATTCAAAAAGATATATGACAGCATAGGCAGTGCCTAATAACTACTCATAGATGATTGCATATCCATTGTCAACTTGGAAATAAAGATTGTAAAATGTCATTACAAGAAATAGATTTTTTTTTAATATTGTATGCTCAAGGAACTTATGGAGCTAAATACTTAGAACTGGATAACTTATGGTCACAAATTTTGGGCACTCTTAATTTTGCAGAAACTCTCAAAATCAATTTTGTGAAATGTGTTTTATGGTTTGATCATTTGGATCAGTTTGCTTGATCTGAAAGACTTCAGAATGAAAAAACTTTCTAATATCACCAGTGTAACTCATTTATCAAAAACTGTATACAATTTTATATACTACTAGCTTACCCGTCGCGCATTGCTGCGATCTCAGAAGAAACGAAATTCAAGCAAACTCGTTATAATAAAATTCAATTTACATTTTATCATTTTTATTGAAACTTATTATTATATTATTATTATTAATTTTCATCGGGAAAACATTTCAAAGTGTTGTTTCAATTCTATTTATTTATTGGAGTACTCGTAGATACACGATATTTTTTGTTTTTCCGTCTGGTGCNTTTTCATCGGGAAAACATTTCAAAGTGTTGTTTCAATTCTATTTATTTATTGGAGTACTCGTAGATACACGATATTTTTTGTTTTTCCGTCTGGTGCGTACACGAATAAATCAGGTTTTCCAATGCGTGATCTGGCCACACAGTTGTCCATGTGAGAAGCACGGATTCTCCAAGTATAGCCCACACACTTGCAGCAATTGTCAGAAGTGCGATATTCCCCATTTTTATATATTTTTTAAAATCCTTTACAATTTTAATTATTTAATTGCTCCTTTCTTTCTTGGCATGTTATGAAATTTCTGATAGTTGGATAATAAACCATTTTATTGTAATTTGTCTTTTTAAATTATTTTGAGTTGATATTAAAATTTGGAAAAGGGGTGATCCCTAGATCGGTAAAATAGGCGAATTTCCTCCTACAACTTCGGGGTTTCTGGACAAACAAAAAACCCACTGAGGAGGGTGAGACCTTGACGATGGTTCCGTGGCTTCCTACAGAATTTATATTCTGTGACTGACATCACCCGGCAGAACAATTTGAAGATATAATTGAATTTTTTATGTTTTAGTTTTGAAAATGTTCTTTAGCCTTAAGAATATTAATTTCTTAAGAAGCTTCATAAACCATCCAATATCTTACATGTTTAATATAGGAAATACAGAAAAGACGAAAAATCATTTTTCTTTTCTGTATTTCGCATTGTAACAAGATAAATAAATAAATCCATATTAGTGATGTAACCAATATTCAGTTACTATTCGGTATTCGGCCTATTTTTCACTATTCGGCCGAATACCTAAAAACAGTAAGTAACAAAAACACAGTAAATTAATCATTTTGGTATTCAAGTTTAATGTTATCGGGTTAGTGTTGTTTGTTTATATTTATTTATAACTTATAACATGCACAAAATGAAGAAAATATTATTAGTCACATGTATTCACAATTTATAATTAAAAAGATCAGCACACGTACACGCCTATTCCTTCGAGAATCGTCGCACACATGTGAGGGTCTGACCCAGCCTATCCTTTTTAAGCGCTCGTCTTTGCTCTTTCCTTTCTCTTTCCTCCATCTCTCTAGTCCACGTATGCCTATTCATACATCATAATACGCGCTCACGATACTTTCGATTCGTCACTTTTCCGTCGTAGTTTTTCCATTTTATAATTACGTGACAGCCTAGTGATGACGGAGAAAAGAGACAGACAGGACGTCGGTATATGTCACAGTTATGATTTCACAGATTCGAGACAGCTTGGTAGCTCGAACGGCCCCAGGCATTCGCCCGTGCACGCTAAGTGACTTTCATTACAAGCATTTAGCTTTCCGAAGTCTATGACGACAATTGTGTGGCATTGACTGCCGCGAATTTCGCGCCAATAAGCTGTCTCGACTTGTTTGATTATGTTATCAACTCAATTTCATATTTATTTTCACATTTCACTTTGTGGTTCTTCTCTGTTCTTTTTCCGTTAGTTACACGTCTAGGTCATTTCATTGTTATCCATATCTGATATCATTTATCACATACTGCCATGACGCTCTTGTCTGTCCGCTACAACTGTCAAGAATTAACGCGATTGGTGAAGCGTAGTGACACACACACACACACACACAATCTTTTATTTAGGTACATATAAAACGTACATTTCCGGTACCGCATAGGCATAACCAGATTAGTTATATTTGTAACTATATTTAACAATTATTTAATAACAATCACGAGTTTTTAATTAAAGTTTTCAATTAAAGTTTAGGATTATTCTAGAATAAAGATGAAGACATTATTAATTAGTAAAATAGTTTGTGATATAACAATATTATAAATTATTTGTGACATTTCTTTTCGTATCAATAAATATTAATATTTATATATACATATATAAGTTTTCTAACAATGTCTTTAAGTATTTAAATAACATATATATGTGAGGTGAAACATAGTTATTTAGTTAACAAAATATAAACAATTTTTTTTTTTAANTGCAAATTTTCCATGATCAGTGAAGAATTGTGTTAATAAGTGTGTAGGTTGTATCCAATGATATTTGTATATGTCCTTTATAATTGGGAAGAACTTGTACGTAGTTTTCTCTTTGTATGTATTCCATTTCTGCTGCCATTTATACAAAACATCATTCCATAAAAGTTTTTTAGCTGTCTGTAAACTAATTTTGTTGTATGATATCGTTAAATTTTGGTCATTAGTGGCCGACTTAGCCAATTCATCCGCTCTTTCATTCCCGATAGTTCCTTCGTGTGCTCTGGTCCACATGAAACTATAATTGTTTTTAGAGGCAGTTATTTGTTCTTTAATTTTTGTAGAAATTGGATTTAATTTGGTGCTTTTAATTATTGCTAAAGCAGATGCACTATCGCTTATAATGATGATGTTTTTGAGTTTGTATTCTCTGTTTGTCCACACAATGGCCTCCAGAATTGCAATCATCTCAGCCTGGAAGATTGTGGATAATTCACCCAATTTAAATGTTTGATGATATATTTCAGTGTTGTCAGAAAAAACAACAAAAGCGCACCCAACTTTGTTTTCAATTTTTGAACCATCGGTATAGATTATGATATCTTGATAAGAAATATTCTCTTCAATTTTTATAGGTTGGGTACTGGGATTTTGACTCATTCGATATGGTGTTGGGGTTTCTAATTCTGATGCGGTGTTGGGGTTTCTAATTCTGATGCCAGAATATTGCAATCATTAGTCGATATATCTTTGCCCCATTTTAAATTGAAAATACGACTATAATATTCTATATGTAATTCAATTGGAGGTTTTTTTGCCAGTACTTGTAGAGCCGCATTTGGAGCAGTTCTATAGGCCTTAGTAAGAAGGATGGTGGCTTTTCTTTGTGCAGAAGTCAGTTTTCTTTTTGGATGTATTTTAGAAGAAGCCCATCCCCATGATCCACAAGCATATGTTATTATGGGGATAAAGAGTTGGTTGTATATTGTATCTAGTGCATTAAAAGTAAGGCCCCAGGTATTATGGGCAACTCTAGAAAAAGCTTGNCTTTGCCCCATTTTAAATTGAAAATACGACTATAATATTCTATATGTAATTCAATTGGAGGTTTTTTTGCCAGTACTTGTAGAGCCGCATTTGGAGCAGTTCTATAGGCCTTAGTAAGAAGGATGGTGGCTTTTCTTTGTGCAGAAGTCAGTTTTCTTTTTGGATGTATTTTAGAAGAAGCCCAGTTCATATACAGCTAAATATACAGTTCAGAGTTGTAAAACGCCAGCAATAAACGCGCAGAATTATTAACAAAAGCCGAAGATCAACAATGGAAAACTTTATGCTTGTTGCCGTCAATCTATAATGCAACAGATCCGAGCCACTTTGCTCGGCGGGGGAGGGTTTCACGGGACAACTGCCTGCTCGTTGGGCGGATCCGGCGCCCTGCGCTGAACCCGCAGTCGGTCGATTACATCCGGATTTAAGATACGGATTCCGGTTCCGCCCTGCAGGCCACTTTGGGAGCAGGGCCGCTCTCCGGGTCATATCCCGTTGTTGAGCCGCCCTACGGGCCCCCTTTGGGATTTTCGCTTTATCGGCGGCCCTGGGGCCCACTGGGACGTCCCGTTGGAAGAACCCCTTCGACCACAAATAAACCAAAAATAGATATAAACACACAAACGATGCACCGGACTGTGTCCCAGTCCGACGGTCAATTTTTTTTTTTACACATACACACGCTTCTGGCACTTGTCAACCAATTTTTTTGGTCGACAACGACGTAACCCCTTTCCAACCCCCTAAAATCCCCATTTTTATTGTAAAAATCGTCATTTAACCTTCAACAATGCAAACGACAATGTATATCGTAACAATGATAACAATTGCTTAACGACAATAAAAAGACTAAATTGATTCTCCTATTCCACTCAAATATATTTATTTATTTTTTCATTTTCGTGGCCAAATTATGCAAATATTATTACCGTGGACTTCCTTCTTTCACCATTTCTATGAAACCTTACTCTACTCGTTACATCTAAGTACTAAAACCTTATATAAAGTTTTTTATATAGCAGCGTTGACTGAAAATTGTATATACATTTTTCGCATAACACACACGGCATTTATAATTTAGGTATCCCGAAATATTACAGGACATTTTTCATTAACATGCTACTATTAAACAAAATGGAAACTCTATAAAGTTATTGAAAAAGACTTGAAAAGCAAAATGCGTGGTTCGTCAAGAAGTGCTTCGCTTCTCAAACAGTTTTAGGATATTTTAAACTTTCCTATAGTTTATAAAAATTTTCGTTATCTTAATATAACTTATACTGTATATTGATTGTGGTGATTATTTTTCTATCGCCTACTTCTTTTAGACTGTGTTTCGGCAATTGCGATTCTACTAACCGCGCATTTTACTTGTATTCTGAATAGGCAATATTTTTCTCTCCGATGTTAGCTAGGTATGGATTATATAGTACGATGGAAAAGTGTCTCCGCAGCGTGGTCACCACTAAGTGGCTGGGCTGATTTTCCGACATTATAATTTACTTTGTGTCTTTGGACGCGCCATGTCGTTATTTCGTTGGTGGAAGCGCCTGTCGTTTCCACGCCCAGTGCGGACGAACTTGAAATCCCACTGTGTCTATTAAATCTTAGAACAATAAGATTTACGTTGATTTTTTTTTATTTCTTTATAGGTAGATAATGGCTTTGAGTAAAGGCTCTTTCTCACTTATGGAAAAATCCGTAAAACGAATTTTGAGAAATTTTTCTTTTCCGTACTATCAAACCAGTGCAGAAAATCGTATCGAGCAACTTCTAACTTTTCATTTACAGAATACGGAAAAGGATTTTCTCGCTCCGATAGCAATCAGATAGAGATTGAAGACATTACCATGCGTGGTCTCGCCTGCGTAATAAAGAGTTTCGAAAGAATATAGAATTTGAAGCAAAAGAGCAATCGGGATTTTGTGGAATCGTCTATAGAAGAGATTAAAAAATATTCTCATCCATTGACACATAGACATGCCAACTAAATGCTACAATAGCGTTTTCCTCCATCTTGACCGTATCGGCTGTGATGTCATTACAATAATAGGCAATATCAGATTGCTTAATGGCGGTTCTTTTGCGTCTCCGTAACTACGGGAGTACGCTGCTGTTTGTAGACATTTAGGAACGACGGTGAAAGAAAGATGACGGCGCCAGTAGTAGGTTATCGATAGTATCGTGATGGAATGGTCTATAATTTTAAAATATGCGTTTTTAGAGGCAAAAGAAGGGGGTCCCAATTGCAAAATTTAAGCATAAAATGGATTATCTTGCCGACATAACATTCAAAGTAGCCACGAAGAAAATTAGAATGCGGCTATCATTTGAAAAAAATTCGAGAAGGCACTTATATCACCGCTTGTACTAACTTGCGCTTTCATAACTCCTGAATTATTTTCATTATAAAACCACATAATGGACCCCGAAACGAAACTATCTGAGCCATGGAGAACGCCATGTTGCATTCCACCGTAAACTACTACTACAAGTGGCCGATTTTTCCGTCCGACCGGAATGTAGGAACGCGTTCTGCAGGAATTTTTAAACGAATGCCGCTCGTGCGGAGTTATGCGGAGGAATAAAAAAACGTACTCATAGGGCGTTTTTTTTACTCTTTCCGTCCTGTGGGCACTCAGAGGGCCTTTTTTTTGTGGGGACTAAGAGGGTTCGGCCCACAATGGGGCGATCGTGTGGTGAGGGACGGAGCCCGACATATCCGAAAGGACCACCCTCCGAAAAATTCCTGGGGATTCCTTGAGCCGTATGGATTGGATTCCGGGTGGGAGACGTTTTAAAGGGCATGATCTTTATTTTAAGTGACCCAATATTATGTTTAAATAGAACACTATTTTGAAATTTGTGAGTTTATTGAAACATTTTTATTCATTATAACATCTGAAATACTAAAATAATTAATAAATATATGTATTTTTATATTGTTTTATTAATTTGATCATCAAAAATATTCAAAAAACATTATTAATACACATTAAGATATCAAAATATAAAGGTGTCGCTACTAGCACTTATGAAAGAATCATGGCGTCGTACATGTGAGTTATATAGAGAAGTGAAAATTATTGTTTAACTTATAACTAATCTATTATATAAAGATGATGAAGTGTTCGAGGTACCTGTTATCCTGGAATTTGTATTTAAGTATTAGAAACGTTCATATTTATATTCCTCAATCATATAAATTTTTGAAAAACAGCCATAATGTTAATTTCTCTAAATCTTTCTCAAAATTATTAAATCAAGGACGAATGTTATGTAATTATACAGATTTGACGAGGTCACCAAAAGAAGATCTAACGGAAAATGAATGCATTGATTATAGTGATTTTTCAAGCCTTGCCATCACCGAGGATGTTGAAAAACAGATAAAATTAATTCTGATGGAATATGAAATCTATAAGCAAAGTGGAGAGAAAATGCCTTCAACAATTCAGTTAGAAGATATGAAAGAGTTATTAAATCACCCTGTAGAACGAGCCAGAAGAAGATATTTCCATTATCTTTTCAAAAGAGAAAAGGCCAAATTAGCAGAAAAAAGAAGAAAAGAAAGAAGAAAATTAGAACGTGAACAAAATAAATTAGTAAAGTCAGGACCAAAAAATACTTTTTTCCTATTAATCAGAAAAACATCAATGCTGAAATTTTATAATACTAGACAAGCAGATGCAGTAATGTTTGGCAGTTCACTTGTTATTGATATGGCATATGATGAATATATGGCTAAAAGAGAATTAATTAATTGTGTTGATCAGCTTTCAATGGCATATGGATCAAATAAAATTAATAGAGAACCATTTAACCTTTATTTTTGCAATTTGCACAAAGATAATGCATTAATTCCTTATTTAAATAATGCCATACCCCACATTAATAAGAATAATTGTCTAATAACTTCGACTGAGAAAAGTTATTTAGATATTTTTCCTAAAGAACGTATTGTTTATCTAACACCAAATTCTCCTAATGTGCTTCAAAAATTTGATCATGATTCTGTTTATGTAATTGGAGGATTTGTGGATAAGGTCAATGCTAAGCCATTATCATTAGCCAAAGCAAAACGAGAAGGCTTGAAAACAGCCAAGTTACCATTAGATCAACATTTACATTGGGGAGAAGGATGCAAATCACTGACTATAAATCAAGTTATAGATATTTTGCTGGAAGTAAAAGCTTCCAACAATTGGAATAAAGCATTTGAATTTGTTCCCAATAGAAAAATACGTAAAATAGATCCTGAAGAAATTCAACATCAAACAGTAACGAAGAAGAAAAAACAGACTATTTTTAATATGAAAACTATACTTGCTGATTAGATAATTGTAATGAAAGTTCATTTTAAATAAATTATAAATGTATATTTTGATATTAAGTTGTTTTGAGTGATGTATAGATTATAATTATAGTCAAGTTCTAGTCCTGACTTAGATATACCACGTAAGTGAAAATATTGTTTTAAAAATTGTCAGGTTATAATTAGACTAATGAAATAATTATAAAATTACAAATAAGTGAATTATTATATACAGTATTAGAAAGTTTAATAATTAGTAAATTTGAATCAGTTAAATTTGATATGTAGCAAAGTTACCAGAGATTCAAATCTACAATCATCTAAATCAGTTTCTTAATGGGGCCATGGCCCACTGGGGGTCTATAAAAAGTTTTCCGGGGGCCGCCAAATTATGCAAAATTTCCTTCAGAATGTGATAAAAAGAAAATTGATGTATAACCGAATATCATATTGAAAAGTGAAATAAGAAAGATAAAGTTTTCGTATTTATTTATTTCTACATACAACTTTGTTAGTACAGAAGAAATAAATGCAAATATGCTACTTACACCACAGTATTCTTTTATTCCAAAGTAATTCAAAGAAACTATTAATGCTTGGAATTTTAAAAATGATTAGGAAAAATAGTAGGCTTAGTAGTAGGCTTTGAAAATTTAAATGTTTTTGCAAAAGATATGCAAAATCTTTACGATAAGTTATGGGTGTTTTAGTTTAGTTTAGTTTTAGCATCGACTTTGGATTGAATAATAGTTTATTTTATATTTTGTTAAAAATTAATGAGTTTTTATGTATACCGCCCCCTTCGCTACAAAATTCCGATTCTGAGGGACAAAGCTAATGCCAAATTCGTACTGCATTGAATAGACTAAAGACTAGTATAATATTATTTGTTTAATTATTGTATGATATAATGAATAAAATATCTAATTATTCTTAATATAATGTTTTACTATATCGCTCAGAAAATTGTTTTTCGCCCCCAAAATATAAATTGTTACTAATCACCCCCTGAACATGGAAAAACGCCCACATGGGGGTGATATTGCCCCCCGTTGAGAAACACTGGTCTATATGAACCCATGATGGAATGGGGAGAGAAAAGCTATCCTTTTTACAGTGTTTTTTTAAAATATGGTAGCATTGGATTATATGTTATAAGGGGGGTTTTTTCTTACAAAGAATCTAATCAATCTGTAATTTGAACTTATTGGTTTTACACACAATTATAATTTTAAAGAAAAAAACATTTTAATGTGAAAAACCATTTGTTTTTCTACGTGGATTTAAATTCTTTTGAAAGATAATTTTATAGTTCTAAATATATATTAGTAATTTTGTACATTTTCAGAGGAAAAAAACTCACAAATAATATACATGGGGAAGAAGTATTAAGATAAAATTTCAATTAGATTTGTTAAGGAATAGCAAAAATGTATAACTTTACTATCACATGGCAATTATGCAGGTTTGTTTAATGTGATGTGCTGTACATTATGAAGGAAGTGAAAAATATGATTTAATAAAAAGAAAAAAAAAGATAAATTTTATTATAAATTAAAAATTAAATACTTAAAAAATGTATTTAGTAAATTTTTTTCTTACAGAACATATAATCAAGATATAGTACTGTATCTGAATAATAGCTATTTTCAAAATATAACTTTTTATTCACTCTGATATTGAAATAAAAACATCAGGAAATTGAACCAAAATTATAGATTTCAAATATTAAATTCTCCAGTTATAAAAGTATTTTTAAGCCTATAAATATTAGTTTCTCACTATTACAACCACTTATATATACATGCCTGCCTTGATACTTCTGATCATCAAAATGTGGACTGATGGTACCTTAGATAGCCACAATTTTGGATTAAAGATTACAAATATAAAAAATATATATGGCATATTACTTTTAAGGTTCTTTTTATACCTTAGTAAATTTAATTATTTATAAGAACAATAATTTTTATATTAAATTACAATAACAATATAATACAATATATAGGAGACTAAACTGATATATAGGAGAATAAAAATACATACTGTATTTACATTTTAATATGAATGGTTTATTTCATATTGTAGTTAAATGATAAAAGGTAACAAGCAATTATTTATTGTGACATTTTCACAATACTGGGCTACAATTTTTAATCATATTTTAAATTTAAAATATAAGCTCTCCACCTCAAATTAATAGATTCTTATCCCTATACATCATATTTTTCTGTTAGCAATAGTCATGCCAGCCATCTGTATCAACTCCTGTATCTGTACCAACTCCTTTCAGGAAAAAATTTTTGAATTGGAATAACATGACTTCCAGTTTGTACCAGTGGTTCAAAATAGTTAATTGGAGCCTCCTGCCCCTAATCTCCATATCTGGTCTTTGCTTTCATCTATCTAACTCCATTCTCGAGATTAAGGAAAGACAGACGGACAATTGGATGGGTGGACAATAGTGGGAATTTACAGGTCTACAAATTTTTCAAATTGCAGCCCAATGATTAATTAACAACATAATGATGTAAAGGATAAGGATGATCTTCGATAAGAATGATGATAACATGAAGCTTCTTTTTTATAATATTGCAGGTTTAAAGAAAAAAATATTGTTTCCCTAATTTTTGGAATTTGATATATAAAATGGATGTAGTTTACATAGTGGAAACATGTCATATATCTTTAATAATTAAATCAATGTTTCCTTATGAATATAAAATTTATCATCAGTCAGCACATAGCAGTGAGGGACAGGAAGACCCAGCAGTGGTTTAATTGTCTGATTTAAGTTAGCCTTTAAAGGTAAACTAATATCTCAGACACAATTTGTACTGATTTTACAACTAGTTACTGAGGAGTTAACCAATATCCAGCTAATAGTATCTTTTATATTCTGCCTGACAATAATTATGATGATTTCAAGAATACTCTATTGCTCATAGAAAATTATTTGCTACCTGGAAGTAGCTTGATTTTATGCACAGACTTTAACACTAGAATGTGACTGATTATTTATCATGTTTTATTGATGACCAACAAATCATTTTGAGAGCTTCAAAAGATTAAACTGTTAATCAGAGGAAAAATTTTCTAATTTTTGTGAGGATAAGAATTTTGTTTAAATGGTTTATTGCCAAGAGATAAAGAAGGTAATTTTACCTACCATGCAATTAAGGGAAGCAGTGCAATTGATTTTGTGATAGTGTCATGAAAAATATATTGTAAGTGATTTACGTCTTTTATCTGAGACGCTCTGATCACTTACCTATCTTACTATTAGTGATTCCCTCAGTGTCATCTAGAGTTTCTGGGTGCATTTACTTTTTGCTAGCTTCCAAGCTTGCCAAGCAGACACCTAGCATCAAGCAGCTTGATATATTAGCATGCTCGTAAAAGTATACACTATAATGGTGGTTTCTGAATTAGTGTCAGCAGCTATTGCTATAATTTCCCAACTGCAGTCACAGATTCAGAATCTGAAGATGATGATTTGTTGTTAGAACATGCAATGTCTGCAGTTGAAGCTGAGATGGATGCATCTAGTGGCAAGCACAGCAAGATTGTTGAAAAAGTGAAAGGTTATGTGGATACTGATCGAAGGGCTTTCAGGAGCATTTTAGATTAAATAGAACAACTGTTGACATTTTGATTTCAAGACTAGTACCCTTAATTAATAAGAAGCATAATTCAAGAGGACAATGTCCATTGACAGTGGAGAAAAACATATTGTGCAGTCTCTACTTGTTATCAAATCAAGCTCCATTAGGTAAAGTACAGATCTATGTCATTAATTGGGATTTGTGTTAATAACATAAATTGTGGTTAAAATTAACAAACTATATTTTTTTGAATTTGAAGTAAACTATAAAGAATTTTTAAATGAAAGTTTAAGCATAACCTATTTATACTATAAAATAGAATTTAACAATGAATAACAAAGTTTCAAGGATAAATTTCTTTGATTAAATCAAATTTTGACTGTACATGATGCTCTCCTAATTTTCCACCAGAGGTCTGCAGATGTGTATAAATACAATGATTTGTACCTGAATGATATTGTGAAGAATTTTAATGCTGTATCATTGATGTCGGATACTCCAAGAAAAGGTTGAAGTCAATTGTATCAATATATTGTATGTATTTTTTAATGTCATTTTGCCAGTTTTTAAGTTGTTAACCATCTGTCTCTAGCTGGATTATTAATTATTCCAATATATAAAAAAGGTGATCTGTGACCCCAAAAATTATCAGCTTATATCTTTGGTTCCTGTAATTGGAAAATTATTTATGTCTTCATTAAATAAAAGACTAGAAAAGTGGATTCTTAATATACAGGGTCATTACAATTTAAGTTTCACTTTGAAATGGCCATAGAAGGAAAACTACTGGACATAATGTTATCAAACTTGGTAATAGTTACAGGAAGTCATGGGATTTTATTTTTCACAAAAAAATAGTTCAAAAACTCACCACCAGCAGGGAATGGTGCTGTATGCAATACTGTTAAACAAAATAAGACATGAAGTCATCAGTTGAAAATGTTTTTAATTGTTTCTAAAATGTATTACAAAGCATGTTTGGTAATATGGTCAATATGGTGTCCACCGTTTCCTGAAAGCAAGTAAAATTCCTCCTGATTTGGTAAGAGCTACTGTTGAGAACACAGTAATGTGATTTAACTTGCTTTCAGAAAATGGTGGATGCCACATTAAACATTCCACATTTTTTGTGAAAAATAAAATCCCATGACTTCCTGTAAACTATTATCAAGTTTGATAACATTCTGTCCAGTAGTTTCCTTTTATGGCCATTTCAAAGTGTAACTTTAATTATAATGATCCTGTATTTTGTGTCAAGAGCAAGCAATTTTCAACCTGGCTAATCTTGTCAAGATCAAATATTTGTATTAAATGGATTAGTATAATTAAAATTGCAGAAAAACAGAGGAAAACTTTATGCTGTTTTTGTGAATTTTAGATCTGTTTTTGACACTGTTAATCCCAAAGTTTTATGGTCTCTACTAGAAAAAATGGGCATAGATAGTTTCTTGGTAGATTGATATATAATCCAAAGCTACTGAAAGAGTAAAGATACTAGCTACAACAACTGATTCATTTGATATTGATATTGGAGTTTAGCAAGGTGAGATTCTGAGCCCACTGCTTTTAATCTGTATGTTAATGGATTGATAGTGTAACTTGCTAAATCTGAATTACCTGGGATTTCTCTCTCTGATGAAGTTAAGGTACATGTATTAATGTATTGATATTCCACAAATGTTGCAAAATAAAATTGCAATTCCGAAGGAATTTTGTTGTGACTATGCATTAATTATAAATGTTTTAAAAACTAAGACTAAAGTTATGGTATTTAAGAAGGGA